GAGAAACGGTTCTTGGTTCGTATTCAGTCGAATAGTTTAGGTTTATTTTGATTATCAACTAAATAAAATGATATTAAAAAGGTTTTTTCATGGTTTAGTTTATATTTATTCATTAGGTTTAATTCCGACCGATCGCATTTTTTTCAAATTTTGATCCAAATTTTTTTTATCCCCACCAATCACAGACCTCTGCAAAGATGCCAACATCTGCGATTGGATGATTCAAAGATCAGCTGACAATCGTCACAACAACTTCAACCAATCATCTTCATCTCTGAGGAAAAGTCAGATGAGAAGATCAAGGTACATGAACAAATCAAAATCATTTTATTTTATTGCTTTTTCTTAATATTTCTTGATTGTTTTTCTAAATTTTTTTTCTAAATTCGTGATTTTATAATTTTATTCTTTGTTATTCATTAAAAGCTTTTAAAATTAAATAAAAATAACTTTCTCAATATTATCTCAGCATCGATAATCGCTTCGATAGTCAAGTCTCCCTCACAGAACTCAACAAATTTAGGTGGTTTTGTTAATGTTGTTTTTATTCTTCTTCTCCTTCTTCTTCTTCGTCTTTTTTATCATCATCATCTTCTTCTTCTTCTTTTCTCCTTCTCCTTCTTCTTCGTATTCTTTTCTTCTTCTTCTTCTTCTTCTTCTTCTTCTTCTTCTTCTTCTTCTTCTTCTTCTTCTTCTTCTTATCAGTGGTTGATTAATTTTAAAATAATCTAATTCCACAGTATATCATATACATGATGTCATCTTAGATAGAGTTTCGTTGTTGCTGTTGATATCTTCGAACCTTTATTTTTGTTGCGATTGTTGTTGATGTCCTGATGTTGTTGATGTTGTTGTTGTTGTTGATGATGATGTCATGATGTTGATGTTGTTGTTGATGCGGTTGTTGTACAACTTTTGCATTCTCTTTATTCAAAAAAGCGAGTGGATAACAGGTACTAAGGTACGCGGTGGCCTGGCTGGCTTACAAAAATTTATTTCCTTTGTTTTTGTTTCTGAATGAAATGAGGAAACTTTTTGAACTTTCTAAGTTTTGTAATTTTAGCTACTGGAAATAATGAAATCTTTATTTTACCTCATACCGACACAATCAATGAATCATTTAACAGTGGCCAAATGCCAATTAATTAATGCTCTATTAACTCCAATGACCTTATTAACCCACTTTAGATTGAACATTAGATTAGAAAAATTTGTAACTTTGAAAATTATTTCTAAGAATAATAATTCGGTAATTAATTTTAAAAGTTTTTCCCAACAAATTTTTGATATTTTCACGATGATCAGTTCCTCTGCGAAGCGTCTGAACGCCGAGAAGAAGGAAAAGCGTCGCAAAAAGGACGTTCAGAATGAATTCGAAAGACTCATGTCCTCCCAGAACGATCTAGACGACAACGACGGCAACAACAAAAACAACAACAACAGACACGGAGAAGTGAATTCCAACAGACACAATAGCTACCCAAAGTTACTAAACAACAATAATAACAGTAACAATAACATTAAAAATGTTCCGGACGACGAAAGCTGTGCGTCAAGGCAAGGAAACCGCGGTAGCATACTAGGCAGTAATGTCCTTAATTTCTACAATAATCACTCCAACATTGACTACTGCGAGGTAGATCAACTGCACTACATTGTTTAAACGTTCACTTTTAATTTGGAATTTTAATACGATAGATAATTAGTTATAAAATTGAAAAAGATTTTTTTTATATTTTATAAATTGCATTTTTTATGGCAAGGAATTTAAAAAGGTTAGTTGTAATGCAGGGGTGGGCGAACAATTTGCTGTAAGGGTCACATTGAGAACTATTTTACCTCTGAAGGGCCGCATATGTACTTAGATAGCAATGACCTAAGGGAGAATTTTTTTAAGATTTGTAGCTCCTTTTTTGGTCATAATGTCAACCTGACGATCTTTTTTCGGCGAACGAGGCCGCATAAAATAAAATAGCTTAGTGGGCCGCATCCGAAGTTTTGCCCCCCCGGTTGTAATGCAATGAATTAATAAAGCCAAATGAATCATCAGGATGTTATTTCACAATGAAAAAATTTTTTAATTACCCATCCAAAAAATCAACTAACAATTAGAATCCTAAAATTTAAACAACTAACCCTAAAATTCAATAACCACCACAGAGTCCCAGACTTCTATCGTTGCAATCGACAAACAACTACTTCGGTTACAACAACACAAGCCTCGATGCCAACTATCTAAAATCGGACTCTCCCAGCTCTAGATCTAGAGCCAACTCAAAGAACAGCAACATCAGTGTCGAATCTGAAAAAAAATTATCAAGTTTACCAGAATTCGGGGAGTCTAATGGAAAGGTGAGTTTGTCGCGCGAGCGATCACAGAGCTGCAAGGACGAAACAGTGGCTTCCTCCGCACAAAGTAGTCGAAAAGAAAGTAAAAAAAAATTTTCATCAGTCGCTGACAAATTATCGAAATCCAAAAAAGCCTCAAAAAATTATTACGAAAATATGCCAACGAGAGCTAGAAGTTTGAAGAACGAATCAAACAAATTTTCGAGTTTTGAGAATGAATTTTCGAACGATGGAACGGACAGAAAAAGATCAGAATCAACAAAGAGACACAACAGCTCATCAAGAAACAACCTGACGGAGGCAGGTTTGAACCCAGAAAGGAAGTCTCTTTCACTGAATCAACTAATCCACGATCAGTATGTCGGTGAGCTTTACGGGAAGAAAAAATTGACAAAATCGAAATTCTCTTCTAACAACAAATGCCTTATTTCGTAGTCGGGTCCAGAGAAGGACTAGATGTCATCAATATTTTTCATCCACTGGGTTTGGATGCTCGTTTATTCTAACAACCAGCTGAGTCCAAAAGATAAAAAAATCGAGGTTTTCACGCCATACCAAAATTTCTGAAAATTTATTGTAACACAGGAAGTAAACTTTAAATTAGTTTATGTGTGACTAATTTTGCACAAATGTAACATGCTTATTAATTCCATTAACAAAAAAAAAAACAGAAAGATTTAATTACCCACTGTTCTCACATAACGCATTAACTGTAATAATTTAGAAGAAGCATAAATATACTTATTAATTACTGATTAATGTGACTTGCAAATTTATAAATGCACATTATTGCACATAGTAGTTTGTATATGTGTTTGTGTGTGTTTGTGTGTGCATGCGTGGCGTGTGTCTGAGTAAGTGTGTGTGAGAGAAAGAAATAGTGTTGAATCGTGGATGAATACGAAATAAATTTTGTAACATTTTGTAACAACACAAACGCTCACACACACATAGACACACATGCAGATACACGCGCGCGCGCACACACATACACACACACACACACACACATATACATATCATACTGTGCTTGGTTATATTTTAAATGCTACTCGTTAATTTCCGTTGCTAAATTTTTTATAAACTGCATAATTATAAACTGTATTATTACTATTATTATTGTTATAGTGGTTAATAATAATACAAACACACACACACACACACACACACACACACACACTCACTCACGCGCACACACACTCACGCACATATATGGCATTATAATTACATAATAAATAAATAAGATTCATTTCAGTTAGTAATAACTTTTTAAATATTCATAATTTCATTTAGCTACGATGATTACTCAAATAAGTTACTTGAATATCCAATAAAACCAATTAACAGGCAGCCGTCTTGGATTCAAATTTGATTTAAATAAACATGGAAACCGTTTTATTCAATATGATATTTGGATATATATGATATTGTATCCATGACTCGGACACTCAAATTGATATTAAGCTATCTGAAAATAAGTTGATAAGAAGTTATAACATGCTTGCTGTGAGCATGGAAATCAAATAAACTAACAACTTCAGGATTCAAATTTTTTAGATTTTATTATCAACGAAACAGAAAATAAACATTTTAAGGTTGATGCGTTTAAAATAGAGAAAAAAATCTTTCAAAATTATACACATTAGGTGAGGAAAAATTCAAAGTATTTATGAAAATGACAACAAGTCATTCAAGGAGTCGGGCACAAATGAATTTGGGGGTAGATAATTGCCGGGAACCACTTTCATCTTCTTACGCTTCTCCTTGTCAATCAACTTTGCAGAGAAGACGAAAAATTAATCATTAGAAATCAATCAATCAATCAATCAATCAATCAATCAATCAATCAATCAATCAATCAATCAATCAATCAATCAATCAATTGATTGATTAGAAACAGACTTATAATTAAATCTCTAAGTATTACCACTACATACATCTGTAATAGTGTGCTCGAGGAGCTCCTTATAAGGCAGCTCGACAATGGGAAGCACTTGGTCGATTCTACAAGCTCTTGACGATATACTATAGTGGTAATGGCACTGCAAGGTCTTTTAAATATAATTTGAGATATAACTATTAAGAGTAATAATATTAAACTATAATTATTTATTTAATTATTATTAGTATTATGATATTAGGTTATTAGTTTTATAACAGGCAATGATTACTAAAGAAAATCACAGCATGTTCACACTCAGTCTAGCCTATTTTACTACTACTACTACTACTACTATTACAACTACTACTGCTACTACTAACTAATACTACAACTACTTATACTAATAATAATTACTGGTTAGGTAGTAATTATTAATAATTATGAAATTGATTGCCTTGATTTCCCAAAGCGAGCTCTCCATGGCTCTGGTTTTCAGTAAATTTTTTTCATTCTCCTTGAATGGATCTGAGGATGTTTTGGAATGAAAACGATTTTATATTTCGATAATATTATTAATCATGAATTATTTTAACTATAGAAAATTAACCAAACTACTAACTCAAAAGTATCAACACACAAACGCACGCACAAACACACAAACACACACACACAGACACTGACACAAACAAACAAACAAACACATGCATAGGCACAAACAAACACACAAACCCAGGTACAAACACACACAAACACACACACAGGCACAAACAAACACAAACACACATGCACAAACAAACATACACGAACACACACCTTCAGAGAGGCACTGAGCTAAATTATTACCACCAGCACCACCATCATTTTCTTTATCATCTACCACCATCCCATCACCATCATTGTTGTCGGAGCCACCAACACCATCATCATTTTTCATCTGGGGACCATTTAGTTTCGCAGGCTTTGTGTGAATTAGTGTCTGGCAGTTAGGGTGTCTGATTAGTAGGTTAGTGACGAGTGTGACGATGGAGAGGAGAGCTGGCGTGGGCGCTGTTAGGGACAGCCGGGATAACTTTTTTATAAATGCCCCCACTATGTTTGCCGACAGATGGCTGAAAAACGGTGAGAAAATTTTAGTTTTAAGAAAAAATGATTGGATATAAACTCACACACACGCGCACGCACGCACACACACACACACACAAAACAGCATAAAATCTAACGTAGAATAGAGAAATAGATCTAGAAGGTACATGAATCTAGCTCGATATTGCATGTGAAATACGGAAGGTTCCAACAAGGTATACAACTTGCCATAAAAATCCGGATAATCCCTGAATAGGTATGAAAAACCAAATGTATGGAAAGCAAAAAAAACCAATAAAACTATTCCTCGACCAAATATTTTCCAGATAGCTTTTTTAAAAATACATATACGAAATTTAAGAATCGTTGAAAGCAGAACTATGATCTATTAACACTGATAATATAATTAACCAACTATAAATAAACATTAAAACAATAGTTATATAACATAATTAACAAATTAACCAATCAATTACCTAATTAGCCAATTAGTTAATCAATTAATTAATTATAATAGGTTTAAAAACAATTAAGGCTTACAGGTTATAAGAGGTCATAAGAATGAAGAGGCCATTCAGAGCCAGCAGACTTGTGCTTCCACCTAAGTTTTTTTAATTGAACCGCGGAAGGATTAGTGAAAGTTTAGTGGAAGAACAAATTAACAATATAATGAGTAATGATTCTACACACAAAGAAATACACACACACAGACAGTTACACACACACACACACACACACACACACCACACATACACATAGATACACACACACACACAGTCACACATACAAACGACGACACAAAAACAAGAGAAAGTACAATCCACAATTATATGTATATATATATAATTATAAATTATATCATTAATATAAATATACATATATATAATTATAATATATCTATATAATTATACATACGTATAATTATATTAATAATTAATTATGGTAATTATTATTTTTATTATAACCAGCATTGTAGGAATGTATGAGGAAGTCTGTTAGTAACAATGGCGAGGTCATATGAGGCATTACTGAATCGTGCAAGACGACCAACACCGCCTTATACAGGCTCTTCTGTAACTGTTTTGTGATAGCAAAGAAAATATAATAAGAAAAAAAAAATTATAATGAAGATAATTATGACGAAAATAATTTTATCTCTTCATTAGTTAGAAAATAAGTAAAGAGGATTTAACACCGATAAAATACAATGATCAAAATCATAAAATAATAACTGATTGATTGATCGGCATCGACAATCATCCTTTATGAATGTGTATATTAATAATAATAGCAATAATAATAATAGCAGTAATAATGTTAATAATAATAAAAAAGTATTAGGAATAGCATATTCTTACTCCTATGCACTTACCTTTGGTAAGGAGCATGGGAGGATCGTGCATAACAATATTAACAATTTATTACAATATTAACAATTTATTTAATTTTATTTAATTTTATCTATTTTGATTTGATTTTATGTCTTCTGCAACAATAAAAGAGTTCAAAAAAAAAAAAAATAAAAATAGCATTAGGAAATTTTTTCCGTCAAAAACTTACATCCATATTTAGGAATCGAATCCAGAGATTCGTGAATAACTTTTTATGCTCCTTAACCAGACTGTACTTCGTCGACAGCTGATCTGCCAATCATAATAATCATAATAATCATAATAATAATAATAATAATAATAATAACAATAACCATCACAATGACAACATTAGCAATAATAGCATATTAATAATTGCGTACCCGTAGAAGTATAGACAAAAAAGTTTTTTAACATTTGACTGCCATCGTTGCCACCATCATTTTTAGTGTTTTTGGTCAGCACGGATGATGACGTCACTGACGGCTTGGTCGTCGTTGTCGATTTCGGCATGTTGAAATTTTTCAGCAGGCAAAAGAGCAATTCAAAATTAAGTGCCTTATCTGCATTCTGACACTGTGAATAATATAAATAATAATAATATAAATAATAATAATAAATAATAACGATAATAAATGATAGTAAAAACGAAATAATAATAATAATAACCTTTGGGATCAAATCCTCTAAAAGAACTTTCATAAAAAAGTATCTTACATCATCGAAAGCCATACATTCTTTAAAATCATTTTCCATCAAACTTTTCAAATGTTTTATGATGATCGCATTATTATCATCATCATTATTGTTATTGTTGTTATTGTCATCGATGTTTATATTTTCTTCCTTTCGTTTCTTTAGAGATAGCAAGCCCCAGAGAATTTTCTGGAATAAAAATGAGAATTTAAATTAGTAATCCATTAGTAATTAAATTAGTGATTAATTTAAAGTAATTTAAAATTAAAGAAATTTTAAAAAGAAATGACAATACATAATACGAAACATAGAAACAACAAATAACCAAAAAAAAAAAATAAGCCAGTAGTAAAAAAATCAAAAAAAAAAAAACCAAAAAAATTTAACCTCGATAAATCGGAATGGGTAGTCATAGAGGCCTCCGGTTTGTCCAATCGCAGTGCTGGTTAGGACTTTCAACAGATCCATCAACACTTTCAAGGACTTTTGCTACAAAAATAAACTTTAAAATATAAATACTCCACACACACACCTAAACACACACATACACACGCACACACACACGTGCATATATAATACAAATAAATGTACACAAAATACAGATGTATATATACATACATACGTATATATATTATTAGTATATAATATATATATATATATATGTAAATGTTGGTAATAGACCATAATTTTCACAATATTCTATAAATTTTACAATACAAAAGTTAATTTTTACAACGTCAAAGTTAATCTTGACAAAGTCAATATTTCCCTATATATACAGCAAGGAGCACTGACGATGATTCATTCGGAATCGAAATATGGCCTTATTTGCAGCATGAATTCGAAAAATAAGTTTATTTTGAATTTTAATAAACTAAACGTTCACCAAAAAACGAACTACAAACATATTAACGCCAAACATTCGGTAGAATTTATAGAATATTGTGAATATATATATGTGTGTATATATATATATATATAAACAGAAATAATCAGAAAAATAACATTCATCGACAGAAACAACACAAAGGCTCTTGGTTTGTAAACTGTAAAAAAGGAAAGAGAGGAGAAGAAGAAGCAAACCAAACAAAATTATGAAGAGGCACAACTTTAATGTTTTAGAATTCAATTCAATATATTTATTTGATCCAAACAAAACAAACATAGAAACAGATAAATACAATACAGAATACAGAAACACAGATAAATAAAATCTCAACAATACACACATGTATATATATATATATAATATAGGACTGCTTACTCTGACGACAGCATCTTCATGTGATAATAGTTCAAACCAGCGTTCACAGGCTGTTTGGAAACGATCGTTCATCCATTCTTTGTACATCTCGTTCACGCTAGTTGCATTGTTAGAACTGGTTTCTGGGTTGCTGCTGTTTGCTTTGGGGGGGTTGTTGGTGTTGGCAGAAGTACATTCAATGAGGTGCTTCTTAATGAGGTGGCAGAAGACTTTGAAGAGGGCGCTCGAGGCACCCAATATTTTCGAGACATCATCGTGCTGTTTGTTTGAAAAATAATAATTACATTTTAAAACATTGCTATAAGTACTGAATAAAAACTCCATGATCAAAATTATGGCATTTGATTATTTATGGCATAAATAATCAAAATAAATTTTATGCCATGTATGAGTACTAATACTAACTTAGCTAGAACATTAATTCAACATTTTCAGTGCCCTATGGTTCCTTAAGAACCTTTTAACCGAATTCAACCAACACGCGCAAGTACAACTAACTTTAAAACTAAATATTTACAAAACTATACTTTTACCATGCTAACATGTTATGATAGCTGATAGTGTCATGTTGTGCAATGTACACTAACTACTAACGACTAACCTCATCCAAATTGGCAATCAACTCCAAAATTAGGTTTGCATTCCTTTTGTCATTAATGATCAAGTTGGCCAGCTTCGTGAAAGTTTTCAAATCTTCTTTTTTCACCATTTTTGATAAGAAATTTTACAAAATTTCAAACACCACATTCAAAACTTATTATATTATCGCTGTAAAAATTAAATTGCTAGTCTATAGCATAGATAAAAAACAATTTCTTGAAATGCAGTTTATTTTCAATCGGCTTATTATACCTAAGGATCCATGTTTACACCATATTAAATGCTAATTTCTCTATATTTAGATTGAATAAATGAACAAAAATGAAAAAGTCAGTGAAGATAGTTTATCATTATATCATTAAAATTTGTACATGTAATTTGGTAATGGAAATGTACCTGATTGTTATTATGTAACACAGAACACGTACTATAGTTTGATTTTTTGAAATGTGACCCTGGTATTATAAATTAAGCTGTTAATCTTTTACTAGATTCATGTAGAACTCAATCTTCTGAGCACGAAAATGTATAATTTGGTTATGGATATCCCGAAGTTTTTGATACATAGTATCTTCAATCGACCGAATATGTATCATTATGTATCACTGAACACGCACTATATTTTTATTAATGATGGGTTTCTTAAATATTTAAATGACATCAACTAGATGAATTTTTTTTTGAGGAGAGTAGTTGTAGTAGTAGTAGTAGTAGTAGTAGTAGTAGTAGTAGTAATAGTAGTAGAATTATAGTAGT